GGAAGGAGGAAGTGTGTTATTTCTCTGCAGTTTTCTGTGTCACAATATATTATATGCCTTCACTAAGGCATATAAAGGATGTAGGTAGAACTGTGTGTGTAAAAAGCAAAGGCTTGGCTTTCCAGGGATTCAATATCATTTCACTTACCAGTCTTACACTATAAAAATAAAGAAAAAGTTACTACAAACAATGGCATGATTTGTCAAAGTGTAGGAAAACGTTACATCAAAATGGGGGTGAAAGACATCTCATTACTGCCGGCCAGTCCAGACCTGTTTGCTGACAGGCCTCAAACTCCATCTCTTAACACGAGAGATGTCGAGACAACAAATGCTTCACCGCAGAGGCGTTCCTTCTCTGTGCTAGATGCCAGCAAAGGAGATGAAAATCAGTTAATGTAACACAGCCCCTTCAGCTTCTCATAAAAGGCCTTAGCTAAACACATTTGTTTTCATGCTCTGCATTTAGCCAAAAATGAATAATCTATCATTTTCACTTGTGAGAGTGATGTGACACTGAGGTCATGCACCTGTGTCTCCAGGCTTTGAAACAGGCAATAAATGAGTCTTGGCACTATTACTTACAATTAATTATGCTCTAAAGTTTTACAGTGTATTTATGATATGCAGGGCTTAGAAGATTTATGTGGACAGTGTGAGTCACTCCTTCTAATTGCTGTTATTTTTGTGGCTTATAACCCCGGCGTGACCGGGACCAAACACTGGACAGGCTCATACTTCACCAGTAAGAATGAGTTACAGAGAAACACACACGGAGCAATACACACCTCACAGATATGGACAGACAAATACCTGAGAGAAGGAACATGTGGCTCCTTAAAAACATCTGACACAAACATGCTGCGTATTACGTCTATCATCCAAAGTAAACACTTCCAAACAAATATAAACATCTGTTAACGTTTAGGATATGCTGTCATTAAATGATGAAAAACAGCATTGTCTCAAGTGCCGAAGTGCAATTAACAGATAAGACATTATGTAAGATGGGGAAAAGAACATAATTCAAAGGCAAACGGATAACAAATCGTCTCTAAGTTTATTTCTCTGAACATAAAGCAGACAGGCACTCAATATAGTTACGTTTTGCCCACAACTCCTACTCAACCCGCGCTGTTAATCTTACTCAACCTACTATATACATATTGATTCCGTAATGTGTCATGAAAGACAGGTGACAAATCAGGGTTCTGTATGCATAATAGCCAGTGCAAATGCAGAAGCTAGCAGAGAGGGAAGAGTGGTAATAAACCTGCCTCCACAGTTATCTGTTGGGTTATATTTCCTTCCCCTGCTGAGAACCATATTCTTTGAGTTTTCTCTGAGGACACATTTGTTCAGTAAAATGATTCAGCAAACCCACTGAAGGCACATTCACAAAGCGCTATATTGCATGCTGTCTGTTATGTTTGAGAACTTTGGGGAACTCATAATTCTCAAGCACAGAGATGAACGTGGCAACATGCTTTGCAGGGCACCTTTGAGAATTGAAAAGGAAGCAAAACAACTACAGCAAAAATGCCTCATCTTTTTCCAGAGTTGCATAACAAAGAAAGCCACAATCATGCATCACATAATGCACAATCATGGGTCTAAAACCATGCAGCTGATCTTAAGATTTGGATTGCTTCACTTCAGTGCAAACTTAAAATGAACTGCTGTCTGCTGCTGTGTAAAACAGGTTAGTGTCTGGGCAAGAAAAAAACAGAACTGAAAAGATCCACTTGAGGACTTTCCTGGCCCTGTCACTGTCAATTCCCTTGAAGAACCGTTACCCTGTGTGCAGAGACTCATGGGACCTGGCTGAAGCCACCCTGCAGTGCAGTCTGCTTTACATCATTATGCTGAAAGGTTGTGGAAAAAAACAACAACTTGTGCTCGTGCTAGAAAATCAAGTCAAATACTTCACATCCAGGCAAAATCTAAGAGGCACCTGAGGAACATTTATACCCACTGCTCAGTGAGGGGGGACCATGGAGATGCTTCATTCACTGAGAAACACTTCTTAACATGTGGCAAGGGGGAGTAAATGTTATTCTACTATTTAAATTTGCTGCACAATTTTTTTTAGGAGTGCTTGGGATTTGAAAACAGAACGTACTGTCAGTGCTTTGATAGACATTGACAGTTTAATCCAAGGGTTTGGCGGCATATGTGGGCTCCGCGGCAGAGCGGAGGGAGGTGGAGGAACCGAGCCAAGAAGTACCACATGCATTTTCCAAAAGCAGCCCAACACAGTCCAAATGGCTCTACGTGGTTTAATGCCATTTCATTCCATGACCTCTAAGTCCTCAAAGAGAATTATCACATTATAGCATTCCAACACGCCCAATTTCCCAAAATACAGCTCAAGGCTTTTCCACTCTGACTCTGTTTAGTGTTGTGGTTTTGGGAAAACACTTCAATCGTCCGTGCTGTGTTTTTCTGTTTGTTTCAGGTATTTATAAAAATTTTTTCTCTCTCTCTTGTCTTTGTAATTTTGTCTCTGTTTCTGTCCAACTACTTGTCCTCTCCAATCAGAAACGCAATATAACAAAAGCCCAAAAGAGAAAATTACCCCCCTCGCTACTTGAAGCAAACAACAAAACATACAGACTAGTCAAAGACAGTCACCCACTTACAGCGTCATGCCCGCTGGTGCATGAAGACACTAACAGTTATAGAAGTGACAAAATTATCCCCAGTGTATGAACATGGCTACTTTCTTTGAGCACAACTCCCTTGTTTTCTTCAGGATGTTTGTCTTTGCAGTGAACGTTTGACTCTGTGATATGAGGACAAACATTAGGCTACAGTTTTTGGTTAATACTGTAAATGCAAATCTCATGTCAGGCTTTTGTGTGCGAGTGCCTTTTCCTACAAACAACCAGTTATTGATTGTCTGGTTGTGAAAACACTGGGGCTGTATGCAAAGTTATGGTGTTCAGATTGTGCTAAAGACCATAACGGTTTTATCGAAACCATGTGGTACTGCATAGCTCAGTGCCATACCATAATGGCATGATTGAAAAGGAGTTTAAACTGTGGTCACACTCCACTCCAGTATGACTCAAGTGAGGTCTTGAAAGTTCAGTCCTGTCTCTAGCAAGCCATTAACTATTCCAATATGTACATCATGCACTGGGAATGATTCAGTAGAGTAGGGGCTCTTTCTTCAGATTTATGCTGTCATGAGCAGACGTGCATCCCTGTAACCCTGCTGCAGTTGCTGTCGTTAATGTGGTTTTAATTTGTCTACTGTAAACAGCAGGAACAAGAGTTGCCATTTAAGGTCTTGGAGGAAAAATAACTGCATGAAAGATGAAAAACCCAAAATGATACACCCAAAGTCAAATAATTTCATAAAACCTTTTAAATCATGTCTGCGGTCCTGTATTTTTCCCTCCGATGCTTGCACTAATTGAGACTCAAATGGTAGCGCAAGCGACAGCGAGACAGCTAATTACCATCCTCTGTAATGAAGCAAATGGCAGACACTGTACCATGAGCCACTGTTATGAGCAACACCCTGCTGTACCAGACATAAAAGCAAACACAAATATCTAATTATGCCATCATCTCTCCCTGCTTTCCTGTCCCGTTGCAGACGTTTTGCTAATTGGTGGCCCTGCACTATTGGTCAGCCTACAATCATTCTGATGATGTGGACAATTAGAGCCGGGAGGCACTCATGGCTCATCAAGTCTGTGATAGTTGACACATCATGTCTCATCTAAATCAAAACAAATGTTATAGAAATGCTGCTGTGACAACCCAAGGCCTAGACATGGGATAGGTCCATGCAAAAATCCCCTGCTAATAAGGAACTGTGGATAACATAGCAAAAGTATGATCAGACGCACAAAGTACTGTGTGCAATGGGAGGTAGATGTGTTTTCATCAAAGAAGTAACCTTTTACTTTGCATAGGGAATAAATAATCACATACAGCAGGTTCAAAGACACACACACACACACACACCATGTCAGCTAGAATCAGTGATTATCTCTCCTTTCATCCAAGGTTGTGACGACAAAGGCAAACGTTTCTTTTTCACTGACAGGCTATGTAAATAAAATCTTATAAAGTGAGTTTACTCTGCCAAAAAGCATTGTAGAGGTCCTTAGTTTCTTTTTATATAAAGTGGATGAGCGGTGTTTTCATTCCACTTTTCTCCATCTACCAAACATGCCAGACTGAGGTTAAATTATTTCAATGTTTTGCTTTCTCACTTGCCACTTGCATGAAAAATCAAGAACAAAGGATTGCATGAACTGACACTAAACAAGTGCACTATCTTAGATGATTGTCTGAAACAATAAATATTTTGTTTTTACACTTGCTAATCTGGATCCATTTTTACCTCCCAGGCTCACTTTCAGAGTCCCAGAGATCTTGGAATGACAAAGCTCATCTGATCCAAACAGTAAATATTTCATGACCTTACAATTACATGAAATCAAATCTAGGGAAAAGCCAATCATTTATATTGCATTATTAAAGGCGTAGAAGGGGAAAAGGGGGTGAAGAGGGTATATTTACAGTATAAACCTTGCAAAGTCTAATTAGTCTGTATGGCTCAACACAAGAGAGGGAGGAATAAGTGCAAGGGCTTGGGATAATTAAGCGATTGTGAACAGCATGTACGTGAGCTGTCACTCCAATCGCCAACCATGTCACACTTGGCAACACGACTGCAAACTGGACAGCTGCCCGTCGCCTTTGATCTGGGCTCATGCATAAGAAATCAGGTCAGGCCTTGGTCACCCACATTTATACACATGCACTCAATAGTAAGTAAAGAGAGACTCCTTTCAAAGGGCCACAGTAGCAGGACCTTTGTAAAAGGAGACCGACAGCCAAGCACACACTGGAAGAAAGAAAGCATACAGAAGAGAAAGGAAACTGGGAAGAAAGGGATGAATGTGACAAATCCTCTCAAGATTTCAGAGACTATTACTTAAAAAGTGTTTTTAAACATAAAACAGAGCTTAACTTACAGCTTCTGACTTGGGTTTGACCACTTTCATGAATGCTCCTCTCGCCCGTGCCTCCATCACTTCTTTTTTGGTTACGTTCCTGGTGTCCAGAAACTTCAGCTGGGGCAACTTGTGCAGAACAAAGTACCTGAGAGAAAACATTTTGGCTTAAAATGTGCTACCGCTGCCTTAAAAGGTCTTCTTATATGCCAGTCCTCGACAAAGACACGAGGAAAATCTAAGGAAGTGTGTAAACCATGACATGACTAATCAAGCTGACACAAATTCTAATATGTAAATGCATGTATCAACAAAACTTGAAAAGAAGCCATGTTTATTGAGATTTAATGGTGATGCAAATTTAATGGTGATATTTTCTTGTATGTAATAACCTTCAAAGCTGATAAGAATAAGTACAACATATAAATAGCACAAAAGGAGATACAACCCGTCTGCCAGAGCTGTCACTCTGGCAGCATCACAGATATCTCTCTAAGCTTTCAGACACACTGTCTTTCATTGGGAGGGAGAGAAACGTCAAAAGATAATGGTTGGAATACACAGATGACAACAGATACTTTCACAGGCAGGCAGGGATGAAGGAACCAGTATGTCAGGGCAGAGCTGGTAGCCAAAAAGGACATGAATGCAGCACCTAAGTGGAGGGTGAAAAAGGACAGGTGATATGGGCACAGATGAGACCTGTGCGCAAAGAGCCGTGACAAATTGATGATGGTGATTGCGATGAAGGGAGATGGCAAAGCCCATGTCAAGTTTTCAACAGCTGAGGATTATAAGGAAGGGATGTAGGGATCACATTTAGACTGATAGGGAAAACATATGAATCTGATTTAATTAGAAAGATGAGAGAGTGTTTCAGCAAAAATAAAACAAATGGTTAAAACTAAATATATCACATGGCACTACAGTAAACGACTTCTTATATTAACATTATTATAGGGTATAATGACGGGTTCCTCACTCCTGATGAGAGCTCCCTTTTTGCACTCAAATCCAAGTGGCCCCATTCCCACCCTGTATCTCTCTCCCTGTAAAAGGACTTTGTTCATGATGAAATGTGAAGATGCCCTTGGGAAACACGCAGAGAGGTTATTCTCCATAGGTAACCTACCATCACAGGGTCAAAGCAGATGACAAGGCTCTGTCAGCCAGTAGGGATATTAATGATTCAACCCAACCACAGAGGGAGGATAAGAGAGGAGAGTGGACTGGGAAAAAGACAAAGACTCATACACTTTATTTGGCAACAAATACGTGTTGACAACAATGATTTTTTTTTTCTGCCCATGAAGGCGGCTGTTGGGGAGAACACCAAAAGCTTTAGTTTATATGTTCTTTAATTTTCTAATACTTGTCCCTATCTAGTATGTGAGTGAGTGTTGCGTAGTGGTTATGTTGTATATCTGGGTGGAGTTTATAACTGATTGTTTATGTCCAGATGATCTCCCATGAAATAATTCCCTTGATTATAATAACGGAAATTGATCAAACCCAGGTAATTATTAATTTATTTGAGGGAAAGGTTGTCCTGTATGTTGCCAGATTTCACATTTGTGTTCGGTTGACCTGCTCTGCACTGAGGAAAAAAAAAAAGTGGTTATTCTGGGGAAAGAAGGTTACACTAATAGTTAACAGGAAGTTTTTTAAAGTATAACAACAGAATTGACCATTTTGTTTTCTTTGTAATTAGTAGCAAAATATGTAGTCTTTTGCAGGAACCTTCCTAAGATATTACAATTAGATAAGAAGATCTTAGGTTAACAGATAAGGAAGCTAACAAAAACCTTTCAAAATGAATATTTATAAATATTGAGGCTAATTATTATGCTGCTGCATTTTATGGCATTTAGGAAACAGGTTGAGCGAACACAAAGTACAGCTGGTGACTGAGGCACCTCAGGCACAAGCTCTTTGACCTGCCACAAAAGGAGATTGGACAAACTGATAACTTTCTTCACGATAAGAGGTTAAAAAGTCACATAAAGATACGTTAATCTTTATACATCACAGAGGCAGAGAGAATAGGCGCAGGTTGTGTTACATCCATTGTCACAACATTTCCAAGTTTCTCAGACTGATTTCTGAAGAGCCAGTGTCCTCTAAGCACAATGCCACATAATCAGTTATCATTCTAATCATATAATATTACAGCTTTGTACTCTTGTGTTGTTGTAGTACCACAAATGGCCACTGAGCGTATGCATGGTCAGATGAGAACAGGAGGACAATGCTTTGTGAATGACTATGTTTCTATGTCACTGCACTAATTGGGGCACCGATGCGAGGCACCGGAGTATTTCACTTGAGAGACCAAGAGCTCCCGAGGCACTGGGCTGGGTATTTATTGCCCAAGGCCAGTACTGTCACGACCTGCATGCAGCCTAACCTTGTCAGACATGAAATCTGCATCACGCTCAAATTGATGTTTTACTATGTGACACACTATGAATATTACATTACAGGACTGTAGACGTTGTCAGTCAAAACAGAAAAGCTTTCCTCACCAGTAAGATAAGCATGCAAAGAGAGGGGAAAGGGGGAGAAGGAGAGGGAACGTGAGAGAGAGAGAGAGAGAGAGGGTGGGAGAAAGAGGGACAAAAAGAAAGAAGAAAGATTATTCAAGAAAGGCAAGGGTGGTAAATGATTAATAGGCAACACAGAGACAGAAACAAGCACTTAGGGCTAAAACAGACAAAAGAGAGTGTGCTTTTCCCCTTTTATCGCATTTCATGTAAAGGACCCTGACAAATGGTGGTCATATTGCATGGCTTGAGGCCTAGCTTGATGTTTAATGCATCATCTGCTCTGGTAAGGCAGGGTAGTAAACACTCATTTGTGATGGTGACTAGTCGCATATGAAATGCATTTTGCAAACTGGAGTGTAGAGGGGCCAGTTGACAAAGCTTTTAGGGTGATGTGCTTGAATCCACAGTCTGCTTGTGAAATACAGGGACGTGAAGAAAAAAGAACATCTCCAAAACCATTGCTTACAAAAACTATCACTCTGAATAGTTTAGTATCAGAACTGCCTGACTGAACACACACAAATCACTATCTACCTACTGTATGTACTCATCCAATTCAGAGTAATGTGGACTCCTTATTTATGTAACTTCATCACAGTTTGTCCATGTAGTAACTGACCTGTATCTCTGGTAGTCGTCCTCATCCTTATCCGGACTGACCAGCTGGTTGGGGCAGGCCTCATTTCCCAGCAGGCTGAGGTACTTCAGTGAGGGGGTCACATCAGCCAAGTGTTCCAGCAGGGCTTCGATATCAGTCAGGTGTCAAAGGGCGGATGTCAAGGACCTAGCGCTGTTAATTACATTAGCATTGACTGCCCGCACAGCCCCTCCCAGGCCTGTCTGCACTAAAACACGTCACTGTCAAATTTACAGAGGTACTCAAAGGGGCTAGTCACTGGCTTTGTGAGGCTGGGCAGACAGAGGGGCAATTTAAGGTGCAGGCTTTGGCATATAGTCGAGACACAATTTGGCTGCTGCTCTCTCTCTCTTTTTCTCGATCTCTTTCATTTCCTAGGTGGCCGGGTGCATAACAGTGACAAAATGATGGATGCCCTGTGGTTCAAACAGTCCGTGCTTCCCAGAGCCGTGCTGTGGAAAACTTTTGCAAAACGTGGAAAAAACAAACAGCCCCTAAGCAGGCACATTCATCACTAATACATTCACTTGGAAAATTGAGCCCCAAAGTGTCAAAATACAACTGCACTAATGCAGTGCTCAAGCTTTAAAATGGCACTGTGCCACGACAGGATGTACATAATTGGCCTATTAGCATGTGCCGACCACTTCATAACCAAATTCAGCACACAGTCCCAGACGCACACTTCAAGGAGCCCCAGTTTAATGTTGACTCTGGAAGTGAATGTGTGTGTGAGAGAGAGAGCATCGTTACTCAGTAGGATCTGCATAACCAGGGGGGTAAAAAGGACACATTGCTGAAGCTGTTCTGAAGCTTAGAGAGGAAGTTCACACATTTCTGACTGATCATAAACAGCCTTGCAGTGCGTCTGTCTTGAATTCGGGTGGCTGTGCAGAGTTCTGGTTTTAACATGTAGTAGAGCACATAGGGCTGTTATAATCAGTGAGCTGAGCTGAGCATGTTCTAGTATGTTAAGTGACAAATTAAATAACTGAATCATTTTACTTCAGTAAGGTAACAGAGTAGCAAAGTACAAAAATGATGATTGGACACATTTCCCATGTACTGTAATTTAAAATAACTAATATGACAAAAAAGAGGGCACATTACCCTAGAGAATCTCATTCTTGTATTCTTTTTTTTTATCCAACACAGTTTATTCTCCATAAAAATAAAAACATCACTTATGTTGACTCTGAAATCTGATTCCACTAGAGGTCCCTGTGGTTCAAAACTAGTCCTGAGTGGAGCTATGTGACAAGTTCTTCTACTCTGTTGCAACACATTGTGCCTTCTGCAAAGCCATGATTGAAAACTGGCTCTCTGAGACAGTCAGGTTGTACTGACATAACAATGCAAGCAAAATTAACTGCTGATTCTAATACCAATGCCTGTAATCTGTGTCTGCAGAGTGGACTGCAAATCAAAATAAGAGGGGGACTGGGTGACTTGTTTCAAAGGATATTTGGTTCTTATTGAGTGTTAGGGTGTGGAGGTTGGGTAACCTGGGCAACCGGAGGTCATTTCCAAGCAGATTGTTGTCGACGACCAGCTCTTCCAGCTCAGTGAACATTTTGAGTCCTGCCAGTGACCTGCAATGATAAGGCAACAGGAAAAATGCTCTAAATCTAGTCAGCTGTTATTGTGCAGAAATAAATATTTCAGCCACTTTCTTTCATACACCAGGATAGCATAGGTCTGGGCCTGTCAGGGAAGTGAATGACAAAAATTAGTGGTGCTGAGCTCCCCTGGCATGGTGAGGCATCCTTCAGTGGATGGCAGAATGAGGGATGGGGGTCACTTGTGAGTAGCCAGGATTCAAAACAAAAGGCTTCAGAAATGCAGCGGGCAGGATGAATTTGTCAATGTCTTGTGCCTTGAGGCGCTCAGTTTCGCCTGACCCTAACCCTCCATTCCCAAGACAAATCACTCTGTCACAGTTCACCTTCACTCCCCAGACACAAATTTAACTTGTCATCCATCATTTTCACAGAGGAACCGGAATACACTTGCAATCACAGATGGAATGGAAGGGAAACTTTTTGCAACTGTGCTGCAAAAGGGGTTAGTCTTGAGATTTTAACATCAAAAGGTTTTTTTTTTAAGGAGTAGCTCTGCCTCTCTCTGCTCCTTTTTATGACACATTGCAAAGAGAGGTAAAGGGTCACCAACTCTTTCCTCATGCACAGTCACACAGGCATAAAAATGATAGAAGGTGGTGTTAGGAGTAATGTTAGAGCCCTGCAAAGTTCAAGTCGTAGATGGTGCACAAAGGAAATGTGTGTGTTGCCTAATCCTTCACACTGTCAGCATGCCATGTTAAAGTGCCCTGGGTGACTTCATTGACATTTAAATCCGCCCTAGATGCAGACAGTTTACCTCTCCAGACCTGTTTGTCACAGTTCACACAGCAGGTTTTTATTTTTATTTTTATTTGACAAAGTATTTTAAATGATTCAATTTATTCAACTATATTAATTATTTACTCCAAGCTCTATTTTATAGTTTACCTCTAGTTCTAAAAGCGGACAGATAACCTTGACAGTTATGTAAATATGCTGTAAATTGCAGTGAACAGTGTCACATAGCAACGTGACAAACTCAAGGTACAGTATTGTGAGGTCTAAATGGCTTCAGTGTGACTGCCATAATAGAAACTAACTTAGATTGATGCAACAATAACACCTGCAAATGTATGTCAAGGAGCAGTGTTTAATGGAGACAATGTATAATATATAGTGAAAATTCATTATGAAAAGGAAGAGGAAATAAAAAAAAAAGAAAAATGAGGAGAACTTGGAAGATGTAGTGTACAAAGATACACTTATCAACATGATGATGTGTCCAACTAATTGGTCACTGAGTAGCCATGCTTGCATCTTTAATGCGTACTTTTAGTTAGCCAAACCAACTGTTATCTTTCTTTATTTCTTCTGTTTCCGTGCTTATACTGATCAGCTCGGGCTCCACCTAAACATAGTCCTCACTCCAGTAACTCACACAGATGCATGTGGCAGGCATACAGTACTGGCAGCAACTTTGAACTATAAAGCAAAATGTTGCAGCCATCTTCTTGGGTGTGTTGTACCCCGTACTTTTTACCATACTGACTCTGAGAGACGAGACAGTCCAAGTAACTTCAAAACAGTGCTGATTTATTCAAAGGATCACAAGTAAAATTAACATTACACGCTCAAGTATCTTGCACCTCCATACTGCACGCAGGCAGATGTAAGATGGAAGACCCTGAACCCACCAGGCCTATACATTATATCACCTCGGTTGGGCTAGCCCCATACTACACAGAAACGTCAAACGGGGCATCTCTGTTACCAGCTTTGCAGCTGGTCATAGCAGTAGCAAATCAATGTGCGTGTGTGTGTATCTGTTGATTAAGTGGTGTGTAACTAAAAACATTCTCACACGACCTCTAGTAACATGTCGTGTCTTAAACATAAGAACATATTATGGCTAAGGCTACAGTTCTACACGTCATAATAATAATATTAAACACCCTGTCTGCTGACAGTCATCAACTCTTCTCTCTAGTTATCCTTGACCAGATGTACCCTGTAGAAACTCATAAGCATGACTAAGCATTTAACAGTCTAACTAGACATCCTATCTCCACTAAACATTTCTAATACATCAAGTATCTATCCAATATCTATCTGACTAAAAATACCTAACAGGTGCAAAATGGTAAATCAGCAAGATGTTGTTGACTTGCAAGTGAAGTGAACTAATCTGCCTCATTTCAAAAGACTTCAACATTTTTTTGCAAACACACCCATCTGATACCCGCAACAGCTGACAACACCTAGCCAGTGTGCTGGCAAAGCCACTACCTGACAACCTCTTATCAGGACTGATTAATGCACTGCCAAGATGGATGAATGGAGAGATGTGCCAATTTTATGAAACCCTGTGTTTGTGTGTTTTTCCTCCTACGGTGCTTTTTACTTTTAAAAGTAATACAGCCTGTTATAATACAGTATATTTAGCTCCATGGTGCCACTAAAAATGGTCAATTTCAAATAAACTGAAAGTTTTAATTTTTTCTTTTTTGTCACTTTTGATTTACAGCTGTTTGGTTTGAGTTTTGTCCAAATTTCAACTTATGAAAATACAAAAGTAGAAGTATCGAAGCACCTATGTTTCTTACATCTTTTTGTACAGTAACTGTGTTTGTATATACAGGGAATTTGGTACAACATGAATTAATCTGCAACTATAACCTTTGTTAATGCACAGACAGGAATAACTGTGTACCACATAGGATAACCATGATTTCAGTCACTGGTAACCAAGGTTTGCTAACTAAATATTACCACCTGTAAGTGCACGCATGTGTGTGTGTGTGTGTGTGTGTGTGTGTGTATGATGGGAGGCAGTCCTATGGGTTATGTTATTAGCTGCTCAGTTAAAGGGAGCTGCATGGCACAGGAGGGAGCCTTATTAATTGTTGTTTTCATGTCACCACTGCTGCGTGCACTGGCTGATTTAATCAGTTAAATTCACAGCCAGGGGAGAGCCACCGAGTCCCATCCAGCATTAACTACAGTGCAGGGACTGAACTTCTAATACTCTCCAGCTTTCTGTGCTCCCTTTGCATATTTCCAATACTTTTTACAAGCTTTCTTGTTTTAATGTGCAGCTTGGAAAACTAACAAAGTTTAAGCAGTGCAGCAAAAGTACTTAACTTCTCACAAAAAAAAGAAGCTTTTACTTTTAACAAAACTAATGAGCATAACTGACTTCAGTCCCAGTGCTATAGAGATTTGGTAAAGAGTGAACACACCAAAATTAAAATAAGTATACATAAAAAACAAAACAAAACACTTTTATAATGTTAAAACTATTTTTTGTAATTCACATGGTGATTCAGTAGTACTACCACTGTAATGCTAAATGTAATTTCACAGATTTACTACTACTACTACTTCTGCCATCTCACCAAGTTTCATTCATCTGATTTGTTTGATTTATGTTCATATCATATCTAAGAAAAATATGTATAATATTTTTCTTAGATTTCAAAATACAAAACGATTTCATTAAAAATTATTTACTCCCAAGATATTGCATCACCTCATTGTACATATTATGAAACAAATTTTTCTATTGTAACATGAGATAAAATAGTACTTCTTAAACCGCTAACAGAGAGGGGCAGCAGCTGTCTCCTTGTTAAAATAATTATGATCAGCCTCATTGTCAGAGCTAATACTTCACGTGGGCCGTCTTTACACTTAGCCTGTATAAGCTCACCATCATACAATCCTGTGCGCATTAGTGTGTATGCCTTTGATCTTACATGACTAGTGCGTGTTTGCACTGAAACCTCCATTATCTGCTGAGATCCTGTCGACTGAGGACACAGACTGCATATACCAATATTTAGCTTTAGTAGAAACACCGCACAAGAAGCAGGGGAGGATGTGAGCAGCTAGTCAAGGACACTGGAGAGGAGACACTGACCTAAAGAGCAGCTCTGCCAGATCAATACTCTAATACTAATGCAGACATAGTGATTGATAAACCACTGCTGACAACAGAGGGAAGAAAACTCTCGACCATTATTGGCTGAAATGTCAGTCACTCCTGCCAATGGTGTGCACCACTGTCATGTCAGATATCCTCCAGCAACAGATGAAAAATGGAAAACGGCAGTCTTGGCTCTTTTACATGTTACACAGTTTACTTTCTTAAGGCTGTTGCTTTTTTAGAAATTCTGAAGACAACAGGTCAAATGTGGGGTTTGTTTAAGCCATACATTACAGAATCATAATGTAAAACAATCTCACAACCTTCTCTCTTTCTTAGATGGTGATAGAGCTTACAGAGGCAATGGCCCTGCAGCTACAACAGCAATACTGAAAAGGTTCCTGAGTCTATATTAAAACCATACACAAACACACTGAGAAGCTGGGGAGCCCTCACAGCTGTGGTCCACAGTTAGACAGCTGATGTCCTCTCAGAGGTCACAGTGGTGCAGACAGGCAATGTGCTGTTATTCTAAACAGAGGACCAGAGCTGCTGAGCAACAAGCAAACTGACGTCCTGTTCAGAGGGCAACAGATAAATGTTTGATGAATTGACCAATTCTGGGCCCATGATGGCCTTCATATGTGCATATTAGACTATTCAGTGCACACTTCAGATTGCCTGCCAGGATAACTCACTGTAATGAATGGGAAAATGGACTGGACCTGCAAAACCCAGTATGTGGAGTAGCTTTAAAAAACTTAATAAGAAAGGTGGATGGAGGAGGGCTGACTAGAGAGTGAGAAAGGAGACTGGATTAACCATTCAGCCTGAAAAAGTCACAACATATCATTCCCTGCACTGCAAAATATCTTTCAATCTTAATCAGTAATTCAATAAAACTACCAATATCCCTAAATCATGTTGTCTTAAAATCAATCAAAAATCCTCCACTGAGATGGATTCCAATACAAATGCATTTATTGTGCAAATTTTCAAACATTTTTCTTGTTTAATAAAAACAACTAAATGTTAAATACTAAATGACTTGATTATTTTTGTTGAGCAATGAAGTGTTTGCTGTTTGTGAAATGTGCAGTATGGC